ATAGAAGCCCAACAATCACTCTGATATAACATTGTTGGTATTATAGTTGTTTTATAGAAGCCTTTCACTTTGGTAGATATCTTCCTAGCACATTATACTCCTGCTGCACTCCTCCGTATCAGCCATCCTACTTTAATCCTATGTGGAACATCTTCATCTATCATTTTATTATATTGGAACATTGAGCCTAGATGTCTAAACGGTCTAGGTACCTCAATTCATCCTATCTGACATCAATGCATGCTGAGATTTAATGTGTCTAATTGGAAAAGGTTTACATTTTTACGGTTGTGGACGTTGTGATGTTGCAACTGGGAATTAGTTGGACTCCTTCAATTAAATTAAATTATAATATTCTATCATTTTCAAATTTTCTTTATGGATATTTTTATAGAGCTATGTTGGGAGAAGTTAGAATCATCTGTGACTATGACTGTCTATTCTGGCAAAAATTCTCATGTATTTGCCCGCCTTGGATTATCTAGCTTGAATTTAAGGTAGAAAGATGGACTCCGGTCTTCTGGGTATTGATTGTGCAATTTGTATTGTCATGCACAGAATTTTCGAACTGCTAGCCCGTAAGGGAAAGCTAGAATTCTTTTCAATTTCCTGTCATATGCTTCTGTAGAGCAGTAGTAAATATATGATATATTTCTGAGCTTGCAGTGAGACATGGTAAAAGTATCCGATTTTCTTATAGTTCAATCCCTTGTTTTGAAAATATCGTTGACCTTCATTGATGATCTTTTTTTTTTTCCTGGCACTTCAGAAGTTTTGGATTGTGATGCAGATGTATATGGTGAAGCTGATCTGATTTCCTTACCTATGTTATTTGTCATTTTTCAGTTTTTAATCAGAAGACGCTATACGATGCATACAAGAAGCGGACAAAGAATGTTGCTGTTGATGTAGATGAGTACAATAGAATGAAGGAAGCTGACCCAGAATTTTATCGAGAAGCTTCTAGTCTACAGTATGGGAAGGTAAGCTTCAGCCATGATACTTAGCTTTGTTTGTTTTTATTAATTTCAGACTTCAGAAAATAGGCTACCCTACACTAACATCTTTCACTTGTACAGGCACCAAAATTATCAGACGACAAGATAGAGAGGATGGTGAAGGAGCTCAAGGACAGGGACGAGAAGCGCCAATCATTTAGTCGGAGGAGAAAGTTCCATGAAGAGAAAGACATTGACTCTATTAATGATCGTAACGAGCACTTCAATAAAAAGATTGAGCGTGCCTTTGGAAAATACACCTTGGAGATCAAGAATAACCTTGAGAGAGGAACTGCTTTGCCTGATTGAGGTATTAACATGCCATGTCAATGTGTGTTTTTCTGTATCCTAGAGCAGTCTTGTGATGGGGATGCTCCTTGATCTGTTACTTTCCTGTATCATGATTTCAGTTAATTGTCAATTTCTCTCTCTCAACCTGATGCAAATGCTTGGTGGTGGTTGATTATGGTTCATCTTATAAACCTCATTATTAGCAAGAAACTTTTTTATTATTGACAAGAAAAATGTAAATATCTAATATCCTTTCCCCTCCCTAAATGAAAAGGTTTGAATAGGAAAATGATCTATTAAATGTATGAGCTTTTCTTTTGCGACTGTGATAAGATTATTACTGGCCATTTGATAAATAAGCAGATGCTGACAGAAGAATTCTCATTCTTAGCAATTTATGCATCCAACTGAGGTGCTTAAATTTGCTTGCAGAGAGGGTCAAGTGATGTAGAGTGTGATTTTTTAATGGTTTGGCTACAATCTGCACAAATCTCTCGTGACTGGTGAGTTGTGTATGTAGAAAGGATCCCGTACGGACGAAATTGTCTAATAAGGGGGTACTTTTCCAAATTGGTTCCCAAGACATTCCTAATTCCAAGGGAATGTTTTGGAGGTGTGGTAGATAGATTGGTTGGAGGTCTCTAAAAGAGGTTTTAATCTCATCTAGGACTTCCAAAACTCTCCCAATATCAGGGTGAGGAGAAGAGGATCTATTTGGGATTGATGTCCTCTTGGAATCATGGAAAAAATATACGGAAACGGGCACATCGGTGGATCAGCCAGAACCAGAACCAGGACATGTGTCGCCTGCTATTCAAGTAGCATCCTGAGACCTAAGTATGCCATTCTCTTCGTCAAGAAAGATCGGGCAGCATAGAAGCAGCTTAGGTCTTCTTTTTTTTTTGGAAGATATCACCTCGTATGTAGGGATGGCAATGGGGCGGGGCGGGGCGGATTTAAGGCTATGTGGAGCGGGGTGGGTTTAAGGTTGTGTGGTGCAGGTCAGATGCGGGGCGGGTTTGGAGTGGGTTTTTTAAAAATTAATGTGGGGCGGGTTGCGGGTATATGTGATTTTATGTGGGTTCAAACTTAATTTTAACTTTTTACATGTTATAAGAGTGATAGAGCATTATTTATTAAGATAATTTCTTTAAAGCTACTAAAATATTCAAGATAATAAATGAAAATGGTTCAATAAAAAATAATACAATTTCTTACATGTTTTTCAATTGACCTTTAAAAAATAAAATTCTAAGTCATTATCCTATTAAATTAATACAACTTGATGAAAAAATGAATTTATTTTTATGAATTTTATTTCTAGTATCAAACATAACTAGAAAAAGAAAATATTAAAAAAATTATGCGGGGCGGGTTGAAAATGAAAAGAGTTGTAATACGGGGCGGGGCGGATTAAAAATTTAGCGGGTTAAGCTCAACCCGCACCGCCCCCATTGCCATCCCTACTCGTATATGTTAGGTTAAATCATTTCTGGGCTTTGGTCATGGGTTTTGCTTTTACTGAAGCTATTGCCTTGTTAGGTGCTGGTTGTCAACCAGTTTTCCAAAGGCATATTGCAAAATGCTTACTTGATAATAGTTAATAAGAGGTTCACCCATGACTAAGATGTCTACGTAGTTCTTGTAGGCAGAGACTGGAGAAATGAACTAGTTTTAGATCAAGGAGTGTTGAATCATCCACAAAGCATTTCTTTCAACTGCTGCAAATTGAGTGAAACTAACCCTGATCACTGTTTGTTTACATCCATTAGTTTGCAAGGGATTCAATGCCGATTTTGATGGAGATCAAATGGCTGTTCATGTACCTTTATCCTTGGAGGCTCGCCACACCATAGGCATAGAACACTTTATTTTCACTTTCTTGCAAAACTACTAAATGACTGACATATGGTACCATTTTATTATATCCAAATTTGAATCAACGTTTTTTTTTTCTCTTAACCTTTTCAAAATACTGATATGATCTGTGTATACTCTACCTTCCTCAGATCTGATTCCGCTGGTATGTTATTGTGGTATGACTCAAAGTCTTAAATTATTACTACAGTGAAGAATTCCCCAAAATGAAAAAGGAGAAAAGTTATCACTAAACTAACTTGCTGTGGTGGTGCCAATTCTGTTTTGATGATGCAAAATAAAGCAAATGGCTTTATGCTGAGTTAGAAAAAGATAATGGGGACCTACAATTGTTTAGGTTTTTGGTCCTTCCATGTGAATCCACAGTAAAGGCACTTCTCGATCCTAGCACCCTTCCCACTTCACATGACAAGTGTGCCTTTTTTGGTCTCTGTATTCTCCCATCTCTTTTTTTTTTTCTTATTCTTTACTACTCTATCCGTTCATTTTATTTGCTGACTATTTCAAAAATATTTTTCTTAATATAGGGAAAAGTGTCAAAATTATCCTTAAATTATGCAAAATAGATTACTTATACCCTCCGTTACATTTGGGATTAAAAATATTCCTGTCGTTATAGAGACCGTCTACAAATATTCTCAAGCGTTAACAACCCTAATTTTTAATGACGTGATAAGTCACATGAGGTTAGTTTCTCCATCTAAGCGTTGCTAATTACGATTTATTAAGTATAAAAAGACGACAAGTCAAACTAATTCATATAAAATGATAGAGTGAGTTTATTTTTTGAAGCGTGGAAATTCAAAGAGAAGAGAGAGGGAGTATGATTTTTAACCTTTTCATTACCGTTGGTTACTTTTTCTTGATTTAGTCGTATTGTTTGTCTTCAAGTCAAAAAGAGTTGATGCCAACCCTGCAATAATTTTACAGACTCACCAAAGAGAGACCCATATGCATAGAAGAGCATCTTTGTTTTCTTTAGAAGACACGTGGCACCATCCATGTGGAAAATGGTCTCAAACATCAATAAAAATTTTGAGTTATCTAAAGGGGTTGAAAGAAGCTCTTTAAATGATTCCATTAGGTGGGTACTACATAGATGCCCACTATTCAATTCCCACCAAAATAAAAAAGTTTACCTATAATACAATTTTGCGAAAATGTTCGATAGAAAATACAGTATATTAGTGACGGAATCAAAAAAATTAACTTAAGCAGTTCAAAATTTGGATGAACCCCGTCCTAATATTAATATAATTATGGCTCGTTTGGTGTGAGGGATAAAAACATTTATAGTCATGGAATTAAAAAATAGTCCTGGGATTAAATTTTTATGTCTTGTTTGGTTGTCATGTTTGAGATAACTTATTTCACCATTTATACCATAGTGATGGGATAAGTTATATTCCATATACATGGTGGAATAAGTTATCTCAGAATAATTAATCCTGGGATAACTTGTTTCGACCCCTTAGTTGTTTACTAGATATACATGCTCTTACATTATTTGCTCTATATATGTCTCTTCACTCTTTAATACAATAGTGGACATGAAATGTATTTAGCACTTTGTCATGAAATGAAATTAAAAGATTTACTTTTTTATAAAATGGTTGCTACATATTGAGGTTTTCATGGAAGTTTTAGTGGACAAGGTACTTATACTAGTATCGAATCCTAACGTTGATAGAAAATAACAAATATCCGATAACGTGATTTTGAGTAATTACGTTGATGAAAAATAACATATACCCGATAAGGTGATTTTGAGTGCTGAAAAACGTGAAACCTTTAAATTTATTTGGGGGGTTTCAATTTCACAGGAGAGAAGAATTTGAAAGAGAAAAGACCACCAACTCTACTCTCATACCAAATAAATACACATCCAAAAACTAACATTAAAGATGAAACTGTACCAAACGAACAAAATAAAATTAAAAAAAAAAGGTTCATACATTAATTAATTAATCTTCATACACAAAATCAAACAATTAAACAAGAAAAATTTGAACTTGTGAATGAAATTTCTCTTCTCTGGCTGGTTGATAACAACTTGCTTAGTTGGTTTGGTTGCTGCGGAAAGATCCCAAAGCTTTAACAGCTCCAGCTCTCAATACAAACTGATGGTATATTGCTGCTGCCATTGCTCCCACCATTGGTCCAACCCAGAATATCCACTGCACGAGTAATAATTGTTAAATAGTGTCGATGTTTATAACATTAAATCTCTCGTAAATTAGTAAAAACTTACTTGGTCATCCCAGATTTTTTCGTTGCCGTAAATAACTGCAGCTCCAAAGCTCCTAGCTGGGTTAATACCAGTTCCAGTAATGGGGATGGTGGCCAAATGAACCATGAAAACAGCAAATCCAATTGGAAGAGGAGCCAAAACCTTCATGTTCAAATTAAATACTTTTGAGTTAGTATTGAAAATAACAAAAAACAGAGCATACAAAAGGGAATACCACTGCACCACTATACTTTAGTGAACAACACTTTTTGCAGTATTTGTCGTCTATTTCAGATCTACTAGACCCAAATAACAGAGCAAACAGGGAAGTTATTACTATTCGACAAACATATTTATATGAATTTGAAACTTTTAAAATTCAAGTTTTGTCTTGTGAGAGGGTAACTACTTACAGGGACGTGGGAATCGCGAGCGCTTCTCTTAGGGTCAGTAGCAGAGAAGACGGTGTAAACAAGCACAAAAGTTCCAATAATTTCAGCACCCAAAGCAGTTCCTTTGTTGTAACCAGGTTGCACAAAGTTAGCACCTCCACCTTCTGCGTTGTAGTAATGCTTCATGAACAACTTAACGAAACCAACACCACAAATAGCACCAAGTGACTGTGCAATTATGTAAGCAACTGCTCTTATCAATGACACTTTCCTTGCCAAGAACAACCCAAATGTCACCGCCGGGTTAATATGACCACCTTCAACAACAACAACAACAAAAGTAGTTCCGTTAGTTCTTTTTCTCTTTACTTGAACAAAGAGGACAGAGATCTAGAACCCATAACTATTTTTGAAGTTATGGTAAACATTTCTTGAAATTTTAGTGATTTTAGACACATATTAATGATTCATGCCAAAAACATCAGATTCAGTTGGACCCATGAACTATACATCACCCACCTCCAGGTAGGGACGGAGCTACAGTTCTGCTTACAAGTTCATCAAAACCCACTAATTTTACCTCAAACTTTGTATTCGTGTTAAAAATTTCATACCCATGAACTCAAAATACAAAGTTAGCTCAAATCAAAATTCGAAAGTTGTAGTTTTACCAGAAATTCCAGCAGTACAGTAAACAAGAACGAAGATCATGCCACCAAAAGCCCACGCAATTCCAAGAATCCCAACACCATCACATTGGTTGAGTTTGTTGAGTTTCTTGTGGCCGATAACAGTAGCAACGGTGACATAAAGGAAGAGAAGGGTGGCGATGAATTCAGCTATAACAGCTCTGTAAAAAGACCATTTGGTAAGCTCAGCCATGTCAAGAAGAGGAGCTGGAGGAGGGTCAACATAGTCCTTTCCATGATGATGAGCTTGCCCTTCTTCAATTACGTCCTTCGACATTTTTTTTAGAAGTTTCGCAGTGAAAGAAACAGAGCTTTTTAGAGTTTTTTGGTTTTTGAGTGAGTGAGGAAGATGATGAATTTGTGCTAGCTTTTAAGGGGATAAGGAAAGGGTATTTAAGGAAATTTAACTGAGTAAACAACGATATATTCCTGTCAACAAGATAATCATAATTAAGCAAATTATAATAATAATAATGGTTATTTAATTCAAATTCTAGTTGTTTCTAGCTAATTGTTGTCTTCACTTGAGTTTCCTTTAACTGACATATTTTTTTTTTATTAATCTAATGCTTAATTAACAAATTTGTTAAATTTAATTACAATACTAAGTAAGATTCATTGTATTAGAATGATTTTATATGTGTACTATTATATAGGTGGTGTAGGGCTTAAATGCAGTTCCATTTAACTTAAGAAATATTTTGTCAAAATAAATTTTATTAGATATATTTAATCATATCAAAGGAAAATTACTAGGTAATTAAATAAATTATAAGAAAACATGCAGAAAAATTAATCATTCTTTTCAGCCGTAATATGAATAGGCATTTCATTGATCAGTTTATTTATTAAATTAACTCATTTTGATATGTTTAAATTTAAGAAAATACTCCTTAATAACCCATATATTTATTAATTTAATTTATTTTAATTCGCTTGAATTCAATTCAACTCGTCTTACTTGACATCCTACTTTTGACCTACTTCATTGATCTTTAAATCATGCTGTTGTGTCTAATGATTTTTAATTATTGTTGTTATGCTAGAGTGTTCTTTACTTCTTTTATCTTTATATATCAATCATATATATACAAATAGACCACAAGTTTATGTTCTTAACTTGTAACTATACCCTATAAGAATTCAAAAGTATATTTCTTTAATCTGTGACATTTTCTGTTTTTCGAGAGTCAAATAATTTAAGTTTGATCGACAATTTACACATGGAATCTTTATAAACTACGTAAAAAGTACTATAAGTTACAATAATTAACAATTTATGTATGAAAGTTTTATGATCAAATATAAACCTGTTTGAATCTCGAAATTCGAAAAGTATCGCATAAATTGAGACGGAGGGGTAAATGTTAGCACCAATTTAGAGGGGGTAGAGGGTAGGGGGTAGGGGGTAGTTGGGGGTGGGTGGGAGAAAGAGAGACAGCAAGGCCATGTGAGGCTAATCATCTGTTGATCTCTACTCAGTACTCACTACTGAGTTGTTTGTGGGCACTTTTGTCTTCACCCTTAAAAAAACCACCCCAATCCCTAGTACTCTTTTCCTGTCCACCCCCACCTCTCTAACGGTTACACATCTTTTTCTCTTTTTTTTTCAATATAAATATGTGTTATATATCTTTTATTCTTTATTGAAATTTTAGTGCTGTTTTGATAGGACGTATAAAAATTGTGTTAAATATAATGCATTGATTTGATAATGTTAATATTAGTTTTAGTTTGTTTGCATTAGTAGTGTTGATTACTTGCATTAGTTATATCGAAATTATTTTTTTATGTAGTAAGTATTTGATTTGATGTATTAAAAATAATATGTATTGTATAATTTTTTTTGTTAATAAAAATATCCTCTACAATTACTATAGAAAAAATGTTGAGAAGGTTTTGAATGACAATTGTGTTTTTAATCACATTAATGCATTATGCATATATTAAAACTTCTTGCATGGCCAATACCTTGAATTATTAGTTATACATAGCTTAATACTAAATAAAATAAACAAATAAGTTGAAGAAGTATACCAAATAAAACACTAGCAATTCACTATACTAAATATACATTATTATTTTTCTAATGCACTTTATCAAATGACCTTTTAATTTCAAATCAAACCAGGTACCAAACACCGTAATGAAATGAAAAATTTCCTTCATTTTTAACTAAAGGTTTTGAGTCGTGTTTTAAAAATTAAATTTCTTCAAACCTCTAGTAAGAATCATTAGAATCTCACGTAATAGACTTTCTGCAACTTGAATTCGAATTAATTGAGGCAATAAATTTTTAAATATCTTGATAGTTTTACTCAGGTATAAGTATTTTTAAAAGACATGTTGTAAAACTCCCAAATTAATTTTAAACAAACTAATTAACATCTACTGCCAAAATTTTCCTTAAAGCAAAAGAAGATATGGAGTCTAATCTACAAAATTTGGAACCAAATAATTCATAATTTGACTTGTAAGGATTTGTTCCTTAATATTTAGTCTAAATGGCTTAATCCAAAATCAAGAAATTCATTGAAAAATTGACTCTTCCAATATCAAAACATTAACGTAAAAGTAAAACATTTTTAAGTTGTTGGTAAGAGTTCTTCATGTTCATATAAAGTAAAAGAGTTACTCCCTTTTATTTCAAATAGAATGAATTCTTTCTAAATTAGAAAATAAATTAATTTAAACAATTTTTTATTATAATAATAATATATTCACTGTAATCCTACAATTATAAGGTTTGACGAGATAGGACTTACCCAATTTATGTCCATCTCTATAGGATATATAGAGATGTTATTTTCGTTTCCATAAACATTGACTCGAAAAAAAAGTTTGCCAAACAATATTATTAAAAAATATGACAACACAATAACAAATATACAAAACAAATGAAGGGTCAAAAATGTCCTTAACCTATTAGAAATGGTTCAAAAATGTCCTCCTTCCACCTATTAGTTTAAAAATGCTCTCAACATTGAAAAATAAAATAAAAAATGTAATTTCTAAATAATTCTACCAATAAGAAAAATAGGAGAGGACGGTAGTCCTTCCTCTCCCTCAAAAACTCCAACAAGATTCAAATATATCTACACTAATCTCCTATTTTAATTCTCGACCCGTAAATCTCAAAAGTAACACAATCTTTATATATAATCTATAAAAATGAACGATAGTTGCCTCCTAGTTAAGGAAAGTGTAAAGTAAAGCTGAAAATTACGTGAAGGTGGTAGTGGGATCAGGATGTTTTTGTATGAAAATCAATTTTGCCCATCCCTTTACCTTTTCTAAAATAATTTTTAATTTTAATTAAATTGTGTTCTTTTTATTATATATATAGTTGTACAAACGTGGATAGACAAAGCAAATTTGCTGTCCTTATCTGGAATTAATTAATTGTGTAGCATAAGGAATATATTTATTTGAATGTAGATACTTAAAAAGGAAACCATTTAATTTATTCTTATTGTGATTGGCTGTAGTATTTTGATCAATCATCATTATTATAATTGAAATGACACATCTACATCCTTGTGGATCATATAGGAACTCATTAATTTATTTTTAATGATAATCTTAGGTGTCTTAATATATTAAGATGCACAATTAACTAAGTAATGACAAATTCAGTCAGTCAACTTGTGGTAAAAAAGAAAAAAATAACTTTATTGGAATGTGAAAACAAACAATTTATCGTGTGGCTCGAAACTGAATTTTGTTCATTAGTTTGGTTAGATATGTTGTTAGGGTTAAAAACAGTACAGTACCGTTACACATTCTTTAGAAGCTGCAAATTCTAACTTTCCTTTTTTCTTTTTGTCCTTCCTTTCATTTTTGTAAAAGTTAAGTTGGAGATATTGATCTAACATATTGAAGAGCGTAAAGTGGAGTCTGAATTGAGGAGGGTAAAGTGTACGCAAATGTTATCTTACTTCAAAGATAGATTAATTGTTTTTGATAACACTCTTATGGAAAAAAAAATCAATTTATTTTGAAATAAAAAGGATATTATAGACTTTTTAAATTTTTGGCCAAATTTTCTGGCCATTTAGCATTACCCTATATGTTCCATAAAGAGGAGCCTGAACGGAAGAGGATAAAGTGTACACAAATATTACTTTACCTCAAAGATAGAGAAATTATTTTCAATTACACCCTCGGTTCAAGAAAACACAACCCAAAGCAACTCAAAAAAGAAGTAATACTAACAATATTATATATATAGAGAAAATAATATGATAGTCGAATAATAAAAATAAAAGAATAAAAAACTATGCGAGAATACTATAACTATTAGTATGATTATATATTAAGTTAATGTATTTTTATCTATCATAATTTGTGTCCTCCGCATGTTCCACAAATTATACGATATTGATACTTCTTTTTTTAAAAAAATATACTAATAAAAAATAGGTCCATTATGTAATAGACTTATCAAAAAGAAGCATGTGAAACACAGCTGGCAAATAGTTTTAGCTAACCCCACAAACTCCTCACTACTTTTTTATCTTTCTCACCAAACTTTTATCCCTTTTGCCAAACGTTGCAAATGAGGACGCTATTTGTTTTTTTGAACAATTTTAGCAATGTTTCATGTCTCTTCAATTTGATTTGAGGGTTGTGAACTTTAAATACAACGATAAATAATAACATATTTAGTATAATTTTATACGAAAAATTAAAAAGTATAAGATATATACAAATATTATTATTATTATTATTTTCGTTAGATAGAGATTATTTTTGATAGATTCTCCGCTCAAAAAAGCTATTATAATAAAAATAGAATAGACAAGAAACAAAACAACAAAAGAGTTCAATAAGCAAAAACAGACAAAATTATGTTAGAATTGAAAAAATAAGATACTTTGTAAATACTACTTAAAACTACTAAAAAAAATAAAAAGAGGATTGATTACCTACCACTTTTCCATCTTAATTTGTGATTTCCAAATTATTTAGGATTGCGAAGTTTAATATATCATGCTAAAAGTAAAATTATTTTTAGCTTGCTCATTTTCATGATAAAACACAATTTAGAGTTAGTTTCTTTTAGAGCAATATATATAGTAAAAGATTATTGTCTCATTGAGATGTTGTCTTTTAGCTGAGAATTTAATATTTAGAGTAAGAATGGACCATTCACTATTGCAATTTTCATACCGTTGTACCAAATCCGTCAGGTCTCTTACCCGTGATTTTGAACATTGCATTAATTAATACCATATTTGTACTCAACCTATAGGCTATAAAATTAAACTTTCAAAATTTTTGATTTTAAATACTCCATATCATAATACGGAGTATTGTCATAAGGGGTCTTTTGGTTATTTGAGATTATAATCCAA